ATTTTAGGTACAATGGGATCATCTCATTCACAATAGGATAAGATACAAAGGTTATTCTTAGGCTTTTCATCCACGAGGAGTTTTGAAGTATTTGGGGAAGACTTCTGCAATATTTTTTACTTCGTTCGAAAGACAAAAAATAGAATTTTAGGATACACAAATGCATTGTTCGGGTCAAAGTTAATTTGATGATAAAGCAAATTAAATAAATAAATTGTAATATGAAAGTTCTGAAAATCACTCTTGGTGAAGGAAGGGTGGTACTTTATTTTGACATCAAAGAATATAGTTTACCAAGATTTCCTGAGTTCATGGCACTGAAGTATCTATAAGCATACGTTAACTGTAATGCTACATAAAGTTTAAATATCTGTAAGCCTACATGGAATAGCAGGATTTGAATTGAGTACAGAATCCAGGTCGGGATCATTATGTTCTATTTACAATCATAAACCAATTGTAAAGATGATTCAGTTTATTTTATTTTATATTTTATGAAATATCCATTGATTACCATTATAGGGACTATTTACATTTAACATGTTAAGTATATGGTGACTTTTATTTCATTGAGTTATAAATCCACACGGTAGGCAACAAACCAGTAAATTCACAAAATAAATCAATCAGAAGACTATTAACCCTGATAACTAAATTTACAAAACTTTTATTCATTTTCGGATTTTTAGTTTCAACTTTCATATACCTCGTAAATATGAACAATGATAAATAAAATCGTAATTTTCAAAATTAGCATACCATTTTTAATTAGTATTAGGTTATAACGACGACCTGCTAATAATACATTGCAAACAACTTCACAGTTTTATTCCATCCTACTACTCACATAAATTAACTTGTACCCCAGTTACTTAACAAACTTAGATTGCACAAACAAGAACTAATAAGTTAAGCTTAGGTAAAATAGGATGAAACAACCACATTTCATCAACGCTCTGTCCATAACTCTTATCAGGAGATATGCAACGAAGGAAAATAATAGCAGCCAACTTTAAAATGTAAGAGGAATTTTGCTACTTCAGTATTTATTAAAAGTTCCCACGTTTCCGTTTTATCTCTGGAACTTGGCTCTGAAGATTAAAAAGGCTTTTCACTGAAGGTCCGCATCGCGAAACCACTTTTTCATTCATCTTTCAGTAGACATTCCCTGTGTTTTCAAATATATCAGGCTTTGTTTTCAATTTAATTAAAACAGATTTCGTGTTCATGGAAGTGCTCATGTAATGAAGAGCTCTATGATATTTCTTTTGATATTCCTCGGTTTCAAGCATGAACGTGGATGTTTATTTATTTATTTATTTATTTATTTATTCCAACGGTTTCTCCATTAATACAATTTTGTCAAACTATGAACTATACATAAGTAGCAAATAATAAGTTAATAACAGTGGTTACAAAAATCGTGCAATAATAATAAATAAGGAAGCTGGCAATAAATACATGAGTGAGACCTAAAAACTACAATAAATAACAACAAGAAGACTATGCCTAGTAATAATGGTAACAAGTAACAAGCAGTAATGACGGTGACTTTACAACAGGCAATAACAACAACGATTAAATAAGACCAACAAAATAGACTATGGCAACAAAGATAACAAATTATAAACTGTGAAAATAATAACAAAAGACAGCAAAATATTACAGAAGTACTAAAAAAGTGTAATTTGTGGGAGTGTGTGTGTATGTGCAAAAATCGTGCAATAATAATAAATAAGGAAGCTGGCAATAAATACATGAGTGGGACCTGAAAACTACAATAAATAACAACAAGAAGACTATGCCTAGTAATAATGGTAACAAGTAACAAGCAGTAATGACGGTAACTTTTCAACAGGCAATAACAACAACGATTAAATAAGACCAACAAAATAGACTATGGCAACAAAGATAACAAATTATAAACTGTGAAAATAATAACAAAAGACAGTAAAATATTACAAAAGTATTAACAAAAGTATAATTTGTGGGAGTATGTGTGTGTGTATGCATGCATGACATGGGAAGAACACTGTGTCAAACACCAAACACCATGCTAAAAAGCACCAACTTTCATTTGTGGCCCTTTAAAGGCACCACCTATATTGCACTGCACCTTGCTGAGGTAACACCAGCCTCAAAACAGAACTAAGGTGTGGCCCTTTAAAGGCACCACCTAAACAAGAACTACACATCACTTGTTCCCACAGGAGGGCAGGATGTTGAGTATTTATTGTGGTCGTTGAATATGTCTTGGTGAGGTAATAGTAATATGAACGTTTCCGTACATAATAGTTTTTGCTTTTATTTTTCAACACCAAAGTATATAAAGAATCTGCGGTTCATTAAAAGCGCGTGAGGGTTCAGTTGCCAATGTCTGGTTAAACTATCTATGAATTAATTCTCAAAATAAGTAGTACATTATTTGTTATTAATATATATTAATGATATATTTTGACTGTATTTTGAACTGTGAACGAATTCAAATCGTCAAAATCTTTGATTTGCGTCATATGCCCGTAACCGCCTATTTTTGTGTTTTTAACATAAAACAGATATGTATTATGTTTTATGTTCCCTTTTAAATAAAAAAAAAAAATAATATAAAGCAACACCAATTATAGTTACAAGTATAGCTCGTATTATTCCCTATTGACAAGAATCATCTATATGGGAAATTTAATGGAGTGTCCATTCCCAAAAACTTATTACGTTATAGTTCAAGGATATTTTTACTAGAGAGTAAGACGAGTTATAATGTTCTTTGTTTCTAGCGAAATACAATTTCTAAATTAATGGGAAACTAAACTTTGTAAACATAATCTAATTTAATAGCCTATACTAAACTACCAAAATGAAATTAAAGCACCAATACCTCCAATTTATCTCTGATATCTTACAAGTTTAATTTCGAATTTCATCCTCTTTAAAAGTTGGTTAGAAGGTTAAGTTACTTACAAGAATTTAATCAGTTTCAACTTGAGTGTAATTATGTTAGTGTAAAGTTCTCTTCAGACATTAATTTTACTCGAAGTCCCGGCGAGGAATTAGTTGGCTGCCCTGTATTATATTTCCTCGGTGGTAATAAGGCTTCGCCCACAATTTCCAATCAAGGGTCGGGTTTTAATTGCTTATCGAAGCTAAATGTTTGTTCTTTGGTTTAATCCAGTTTTAAGTTTGTTCTAAAATAATTTGAATGCAAAACTGAATAATAAAATTATATTTGCTTCTAGATCTTGCTCTAATCTTTGAACGTATTGATGGCCAAAGTAAGGGGTTTATTTAAATAAATAAAGATTATAAAATGTCGATATATTTAATAGTAGTTGTATAGATATTTTAATTATATTTTTAGAAACGTTTATTCTTTATTTTAAAGTCTAAAAACATTCAAACGAATCCCTTTTTGAGATATAAGTGGTAGCTATTTGATTGAAGGTAAATCAATAACTAAACGTACCATAAAAAGTAGATACAACCTAAAAATATGTAAAATAACATTTTAAGCTATTCTTATCTTTAGCTCATTTTAATGTTGTTCCACAACTAAAGAGAATGTTATGTTCTGAAGATACTAAAGTTAAAATTTCTATCAATAGGTCGTGCTTCAAGTTTTATTTTACTATGCCAAAGTATATGCATAATTTGCTGTACCCTATCGTTTTGACGAAAACACCCCTCTACTTACATAGGAAGAGAATGTGCAAACAAACAAAACCAGTGTCTGTTAGTAGTGTTAATAAATGTTTAACTACCATCTGTTTCAATAAAACACCACTGTATTATATGTGCTCCTTACGGTATATTTTTACCTGGAACGAAGAAAACAGACTATCAAAAAGTTGTTTATTAACTGGAGTGGCACAAATGAAACTTCCCTTCTTCAAGAACGGAGCAGGTGTGTCCAAAGAAAACTAAATCATCTTTTATTTTATTTGTTGACCCAACAACTAAAGTTTTGGACAACAGTTTGATCTTACGTCTCTCTCCTGATGTTTGGCGTCTTTAGTCTTATTTACGCTTTTCTTTCCTCTTAGTCAGCTTTAATTTTATAACTTACGAGTATTTTGATAAAAGTGTTTCAATATTAGACTACTACTGTGGTTTTGTACGGTTGACATTAAACTGTAAAAACTGCATAAATATAAATATATACATTTGTGTAGTCTTTTATTTAATAAAAAGCACAAATCCAAAGGTAATGAAACACGTTAATAACGTTATTCAATCTAAGATGTCGCATTCTAGTTAATATGCCAATATTTACCCGTAATAAAATTGTCTTGTTTTAGTAGGTACAATTTATATTTAGTTAATTGGAGATCATTGCGTCATATGGTAATATACAGAACATTTACTAATTGGTCAGGAAAATATATTTCCAGCCTAGTTACGTTTAAGAAGTAGAATTTAAAAAAAGACAACATAGCTTCCTCGCTTGGTTTGTTGCTGAGCAGAGGTAAATAAACAACACACTAATAATAATCGGCATGCACTAACCAAATGTAATTAAAAAATATTAAACATTCTTAAAACACAAAAAAATACTAAATCTAAAGAAGTATTTCTATATAGAATGGGAGATTTTCAAACCATAATTGTGTATATTTTAAAATCAGATTTAACGCGAAGTATCTAGATTGATAGCATGTCTTAAGTGAAGGAAAGTGTGGAAGTTTTCGAGCGGAAGTTTTAGGCTCAGTGTTTTAACTAATAAACCACTCGCATTCATAATTAAGTTAGAAAACAAATTAACACTGTAAGTTTGTGCTTGGCTCTACCAGTTCTTGTAAGGCAGAACCAAGGTATTTAAACATAGAACCTTTTAAATTGTATAGCCATTTTAGAATTTCTTTGTGATGGTGTTGTAAAAATAAAATTCAGCACTGTCTTATAGAAGATTATTTACGTGTAAAATAATCCAATTTCTGTATGTTTTTATTGTTTTACCATAAATTCAACGGACACCAGTGGTTAGATCATCTTAATACTTGACTTACCAACAGGACTTTCTTCGTTCCAAAACGAGTCATCAAGAGTGTAATCTGCTTCTGAAAAAAATATAATTATTATTCAATGTATAATTTTACCTGATAGCTTTGTATTGGCGTAAGTTGTTTTTATTGTCAAGCCACATAAATTTACAGAAGTAAGTATTTAAATCGTGCATTTATCCTAATTCCTAGTACTAATAAGGATAAATGTTTTGCTTTACTAGCTTTAAATTCACTTTAGGTTGTATTTTGCTTGAAATATCAGCTCTTAAAACTTATTTTAATCTAAAACCACCAAAATATGATGTTTTGGCAAAACTAATAAATGTCTAGATATTAAAATTATTAAAACTGTATGACTCAGATTAGGGTGTTCTGTCAGTAAATAGACAACCATGGAAAAGGATTTATTACTAAAATGTACACCTTATCGTACAAAAAACAATTATATATATAAAACTATTAAAGTATTTATAACACATCTTATAGGAATAAAGGTAAGAAAATAAATAAGTTTTTGAAATAAAAGATTGTTAAGACAAATAAAAGAATAAATAATTTGTTTGCATAAAAATTGCGGCTTTTTTGTATGAATTAAATAAAAAACCAATTTCTACTTCTATAAATAAAGTCAATAGCATTTATACTTTGCATTTTAATGTTCTTATTTCACGAAAAAAATATCCTATTCGGGTTCAGAAAAAATTAACTATATAGCAAAAAATAGGTTTTTAGCTCTACTTACAGGCCAATCGCACGCTTAGAGCTTTGTTCCCATTGCAAATGGCCTGATGAATAATAAAACAATTACAAAAATAAGCTACAAATACAAACTATACGAATTAGGATTATATATCTTACTAAACTGAATCCAAAAGATGCTTAGTAGTGCTAAAATCTATTCAAAATACACGATACAATCCTATATGGACGTGATAGTCCTGTGGGATAAATCTGGACGTCTGTACAAATTATGAGTCTCATCTCCCGCCAAATTTATCGCTCGATTCGGAGTTTCCCGCTTGCCACCTGCTACACTAGGCTTGTGCTGATCGCCGTCGTATGCAAACTGCTAGCAGGATAAACAGACTTACATAGAGTCACCACACCTTAGCGTTCAACATTAGATAGTTAAGTGGACAAAAACGCTTCAAATTATAGTACAAAGTATTTATGAAAGTTTTTTTATCATTTAATAAAATTGTATAGTAATATTGTTCTAGATTGTAATTTGAAAATTCATCTCTTATTAATTAATAATATTGACAACTCTTTAGATTTTACCATTGACTTTATATCTCTACATTTTACTTAACGCTAAGTTGATAATGTATTTTGTGAAACGCAATATTTTCTCAAGAATAATAATTTTACTGAGTTTTATAAATTATCTTGATTCGTCTTTGAGAATATTTGAGGTTTATTTCTAAAATTGTATTTATTGTTTAGTATGCGAACAAATTATTGAATTATTAAAACTATTAGAATGGTTTACGTATTTAAGAAATGAATGGTATTTTCTTAAAATGTAAACACATAAATGGCAATTAGATACCACACGTTAAGATCATATGACAGATCGTATTTACATATGATCATATGATCGAATTTACAGTGATGAGGTTTAGTGCTGACCAATAACAGCAGTATCAATACAGCAATAGTCAATACTATTGGATACTGAAGTACCAATGGTATCATTGTACCAATAGTCAAAGATGCTGTGTAGTCAAATGATTTAAATAGGTACTGCGAAAACAACATCCCATTAACCGTACCACCCTGTAATCTTTTGGCAAACTAAAAAAGAAAATTATTATTTTGTATTCAATACAACCAGAATTTGGATTTCAGTTTGAAGTCAAATTTTAAATATAATGTCTCTTGAAGCTAAAAACAAGTGTTGTACCATTCATTCCTACTACATATTGAAATATAAATATGCATATACAAGAACATTCATAACATCGCCATAGGAATATTTACGTCTTTCACTCCATGTTTCATTTCATTTCATTTCATTTATTTATTTCAACGGTAAACACCATTTATACAATAATAATAATACATTATGATACAGGCAATAAATCAGTCTTATGAGTAACAATAATAACAAGCAGAATAGGACTAGAAATTGATAACAAAAAGGATATAACAAACAAGAAATCACAATGTGTCACAAGAAAGGAGATTAAGAATAGAGAGGCAGTGTAAAACAGAGATGGTAAAAAAATGGGAAATAACAGCCAACAATAAATAGAAAACAACAACAATAATGAATAACAGTGAATAAAAATATGAAACATCAATAACCAGCCTAAACAGATAATAAACAGTAAGAAATGTAAAGTAACAATAGCAGAAACAGGACACTTGTTTAATCTTGCACTTTTTGTGGCCCATTAGTGGCACCACCAAGGTAAATTCACTTTCACATAATCTGGCTCAGCACAGAGCCGACCCGACTTCTGAAGGAGGCAGTTGATCCAGAGAAGAAGTCGATGTGTGTAGCAATTTGACTCCCTAGTCGATGCAATCTGGACAGACCGCTGAGGTAGGCGAAAAGTGTCGGCTGGGAGCGACGCTGGAAGGAGGTTCTGGAACGTGTCCCTCTAGGTACAGCAAGGTCAATATTTGACAATAGATCGGGGCAGTCGATAAGGGAGTTGATGAGATTGAATAAGAAGACTGCATCAAGGATCATACGTCTGATGTGTAGTGGTTGAATCTCTAGCTGTGCCTCAAGCTCCCGGATTGGTGTGTCCCAATATCTGAAGCCAAGCCTGGGTCCAAGCATCCTTATGAAGCGATCTTGTGTTCTTGAGAGCATTTGGATGTGTCCAACTTGATAAGGAGACCATATTACAGATCCATATTCTAAGATGGGGCGAACCAGGGATTTGTATAGGATCACTTGTGTATATGACGACCTGAAGTTTCTTGTGGATCTGTATATAAACCCCGAGAGCGAACTAGCCTTGGCCGTTATATGAGCTATATGCTGAAATGGGCTGAGATTTGGCATCATGATAATGCCCAAATCTTTCACTTTGTCAACTCTTGGAAGTGTGATACGATTTAAGCAGTAGTCGAAATTAAGTACCCTGGTCCCACGCTTGAACGACATAACTTGACACTTTGCTGTATTCAGGTGCATGCCGTTTCTCAGGCACCAGTCACCAATGTTATTTAGGGAGCATTGAAGAATATCTTGGTCCAGCTCAGATCTAACCTCCTTATAGATCTTTAAGTCGTCAGCAAACAAGAGGAAATTGCATTGAATAATCTTTCCAATATCGTTAACGAATAGATTGAAGAGAATCGGAGCCAAATGGGAACCCTGAGGGACTCCAGACAGAACGGGAAAAGGCAGAGATATGGCGCCATCACATTTAACCATTAGCTGACGATCAGTGAGGTAACTTTCCAGCAGTCTCAGCAGGGTCCCACCGACTCCATAACCAGCGAGCTTGGCGATAAGAAGACGGTGGTTAACTTTGTCGAATGCTTTTGAGAAGTCTAGGTAGGCACAATCAACTTGATTCGATGCGGTGAAGGCAGCCATAGTAAACTCCTGGAAAACTAGGAGGTTGGTGACTGTAGAACGTCCATGGAGAAAACCATGCTGCTCATTGATCATGTATTTCTTCAGATGGAAGTAGAGGAAGTCGAGTAGAACGCTCTCAAAAACCTTTGCCAGTGTAGATAATATGACTATAGGTCTGTAGTTTTTTACATTAGAGCTGTCTCCCGACTTAAAGATGGGGACCACGAAGCCTTTTTTAAGAGAATCAGGGAAGATTCCCTTTCTAATCAAGTTGTTGAAGTAGAGTGCCAGGTGGGGTGCAAGTACGGGTGCGCAGTATTTTAGTACTAGAGGCGGTATGTTGTCAGGTCCAGCACTTTTGTTGGGGTCGAGGGTCAACAGCTTCTGAAGAACTTCATGCACAGTTAATGTACAGTTAGATATACCACTGCTCCATCCGAAGTCAAAGGCAGGAATAGGCAAGATATCATTGCTGAAGACAGAAGAGAAGTATTTGGCAAAGGCTTCACACTTATCCGAGGGGTCTACAGCGATCGACGTATCAAGAGTTAAGGTTGGAGGAATAGCAGGGCTGGATTTTAGGTTCTTTATGTGCGACCAGAAGGATTTGATGTTAGTTGGTATACTCTCTTCAACTTTTCTCAAGTATCTGCCTTGGCATGCTATAGCGAGGTCCTTGCATTTCACTCTGAGTGATCTGAAACGCATAAGATCGGAGTAACGGTTAGATTTTTTGTAAGATTTATGGGCTAATTTCTTAGCAATGATAAGTTTAATCAGCTCAGTAGAAAACCATTTAGGAAAGGTTGTGCTTTTGATTTTTTTTATAGGAGTAAACTGTTTAACAAGCTGTTCCAGAAATACAGAGAAATTGTTGAATGAAACATTAGGGTCAAGTTGATCAATATTCATAGGATAAGTTAGGTTTTGAATTGAGGTGAAGACTTCGTCCAGAGCACAGTTGCGAAAGTCTAATACATATTTTGTAGGCTGTTGAGAGTAAGAGTTTTGCACTGTGATTGAGACAGAAAGTGCAGGATGATGAGCATCCTCATCAAGAAGAGTGTCTACAGCCCGAGTTGCTTTGGAGTCCTCAATGGAAGAGAAAACCAGGTCAAGACACACCCCACGGAGATTACGGACTGAGTTGATTTGTCTAAGCCCATAAGCCGAAGCAAGGTCTTTCATATATCGTGGAGAGATTGCTGTAGGGTTGTCGTCATCACTTAACCAATCAGTATCTGGAAGATTGAAGTCACCGAGCAACAGTATGTTGTCCCAGGTGTTAATAGTTGACATCACTTCATCAAATGAGTTAAGGAAATTTAAGTAAGCACGAGAAGGTTGGTTTGGAGGAATGTAGACACAGCAAAGGACAAGTGTAGAGCCGGAAAGATTAATAGAGGCAAGAACACATTCAGTCGAGCATGTAGTTGGGGTTAATATATTGCTCGGAATATCATTGCGTATCGCAATAAGAGAACCACCTCCACTGACTTTAGTACTAGTG